CCCGCCCGCCCCTAGTCATGCTGGGGTCTGTCTGTCCTGCTGGGTGTGCAACCCCCTCCCCCCGCAACCCCCAGGAACCTCTGCCTGCATGGCCCACCCCACGGACAAGGACCTGACCCCACACCTGCCAGGGCCCCCTGCCCAGCCGGCTAATGCAGCCCTGCTCCCAGCAGTGCCGTGGGGCTGACGCACAGTGACAGCACGGCTGGGTGTCACACGCCCCTGCCACACCAGCGGGGGCAGAAATTCAGGGTGGGGAATCCCTGAATAACCCTCCTTTGAGACCACATCACCATGTAAACATCAGAGTTCGGCTAAACACTGACCCCCCCAGGCTCCAAACTCATTTGTTAACCCTGCACCCTGCTGGAAAGAGGGGTCCGAGCGGGGCCTAAACACTATTGGGTGTGGTGGGCAGAGACCCACGGCTCGTTTCACTCCATTCCATGCCCGCGTCGCCCATTCTGGGTGTTGTCGCCAGCCAGGGCTTCGTGGAGAGCACCCCGGGCCTGCTCACTGCGCTGAGCGAAAACAGGACGCTCCGAAATGGGGTTCTCTCGCCCCCTGGCTCTCACACGATCCTTCTCTCCCTGCTCGTGCCCAGCTCCACAACACCGCAGATCCACACTCGGCCCTGACAATACTTTAATTCCAATCAGAGTCTGATTAAACTATACAGTACTACACGGAGCACCGTGGGCTCAGGCCCAGGCCCTGGGCGCCGACTGTCTCGTGTTCGGGTTCATGTCCATGGAGGAGCTTCAGTCCGCGTCCTCCTCAAAAACAGCAAGTCCCTGCCTCCCCACTGGCACGTATCCCAGGGCATCCACCTCGCCGCCGCCTCGGCTGGGCTTCTGGAAGTGAATCTCCAGGGCGTCCCTCATGGACTCCTCGTCCAAAATGTCCGGGATCCCCGACAGGAGCACGGTCTTGGCACAGACGGACGGACGGACCTAGGGGGAGAGAGCAGAGGCGTGACCCTGCAGAGCGCGCTGGCACAACCAGGTGTTGGCTGAGCTACGGGGAGAGCAGTCAGGGGATCTCAACGGATGGAATTAAACACCACAGAGACCCCCCTCTCTCCCCCAGGAGTCAGGGCAGGGTGTGACACACGTCCTGACCACGCCGGGCAAGCTCCAGTGCCTTGCTTAGCTCTGCACAGAGCCTCCTGCAGCACCTGCCTGCTTCCCTAGGCGCAGGGTCCCGGCCGAGCGGCTAGTCTGACCCCGCAGCAGGGAGTGCTGGGAATGCAGAGCAGGGGTTCCCGCTCCCCAGTGTTGTTCTTATCTGTATTTCCACAGGGCCTCGGAGCCCAGTCACGGGCCAGGCCCCACTGTGCTCTGCGCTGTGCAGACACAGAACAAGAGACAGCCCCTGCCCCACAGAGCTGTCTGCCTCTGTCCCTCCCGCGCTCTTGGCCATCAACCCTTTGAGCTGGCCTTGTGCCTTCAGCCTCCAGGGCGAGCGAGCGCTGGAGCATGCAGAGGGTGGGAGTGGGGCACATAGGCTTGTGCAAAGTGCACGTAGGGTGCTCCTGGCCGGGGGTGGCACCAGCGCACGCTGGGAGCGCGTTGGGGCTTGCAACCCCTACCTGAAGGTCTGTGATCTGTCCACTCATGTAGGGCGTCACTTTGAGCTCGTACGTCTGCTTCCCAATGGGGACTTGGATGCGTCCTTTCTTCATGAGCTGCTCCGCCACTGCCGAGTAAGAGAGACGCCCTGACATCCTGCTCCCACCCGCAGGCTGAGCCTTTCCACCAGCGCCAGGGGGGGCGAAAGTGGCAGCATCTGCCCGAGCACACACCAGGAATCCTGTGCCAAGCGCACCCAGCCCAGTGCAGCCTCTGGGAGACGGGAGCCATCCGTCTCCTCCCACTCCAGCCCCCCTCACCGCTCAGTCTGCTGCCGGGAGCTGTCCCCCCCCCCAGAATGAGAGCTCCAGGCCCCCCCCGGCTCTCGACGTCTCCCCCAGGTACCTCCATCGTGCACAAAGGTCAGCACCACGTGCCCAGAATCACTCAGGAGCTCCCGCTGCTCCACCTCGCCGCCCCCATTCTTCTCCTTGCTGAAGAACAGCTCCAGCTTGTCCAGCAGCTGCTCCTCAGAGAGATCCAGGTGTGGGAGGCTGGACAGCAGAATGCACCTGTCACTCAGCTTCAGCTCGATCTGCGGGGCAGGTACCAGGCGTCACGGCTCCAGCCTGGGGCGGGGGGGGCGGGGCTGCCTGGGACATGGCAGGAGGCAGGCACCAGGCGGGGGGGCCGGGGCTGCCTGGGACATGGCAGGAGGCGGGCACCAGGCGGGGGGGCCGGGGCTGCCTGGGACATGGCAGGAGGCGGGCACCAGGCGGGGGGGCCGGGGCTGCCTGGGACATGGCAGGAGGCAGGAACCCGGGAGCTTCATGCCCCCGGCCTCCAATGGGGGGAGCTTTGTGCTGGAACCGAGCACAGCCCCGGCGACCTTGAGAACAGGCAGCGGCACACGGCCCTGCAGGATGTGGGGAGGCTGCCCGCCCCTGCCAGGCACAGCCCAGCCTCTCAGCGTGCGAGAGGCCCCCCGCCCTGCCGGGCACAGCCCCGCCTCTCAGCGTGCGAGAGGCCCCCGCCCCTGCCGGCCAC